AACGAATGCCATATGGCCTCACGAACGCCCCAGCAACCTTCCAAAGAGCACTGGATAAAATAATAGGTCCAGAAATGTATGTAAACGTATTCGTGTACTTGGACGACATTATTATCGACTCAAGTACATTCCAAGACCACCTAGAAGGGCTCGGACGAGTACTGGATAAGGTTAGAGACCACGGGTTGAGCATCAACCATGAAAAGAGCGTGTTCTGCCGAGCCGAGGTGAAATACCTGGGTTTTGTAGTAAATAGCGAAGGATTACAAGTCGACCCGGATAAAACAGCCGCGGTCGTCGAATTTCCAGTGCCCAAGAATCTCAAACAAATCCGAAGATTCTTGGGAATGGCTTCCTGGTAGAGACGCTTTATACCAGAGTTCGTAACGGTGGCTCAACCCCTGACACGCCGAACCAAGGTAAAGCAGCCATGGGTCTGGGAAACCGAACAGCAGGAGGCATTTGAGGCGCTGAAAAAGCACCTCACATCAGCCAACGGATGCAAACGGATGCAAGTAGTCTGGGATTAGGAGCCGTACTCACACAAGTACAGGAAGAACAGGAACGCGTAATAGCATACGCCAGCCGTTCCCTGACAGATCCCGACACCAAATATACGGTTACGGAGCAAGAATGCCTAGCGGTCGTATGGGCCGTAGAGAAGTTCCGCTGTTACCTGGAAGGTTATCCCTTCACGGTAATAACGGATCACAGCAGTCTTCGGTGGCTTCATAACATGAAGGACCCCGCCGGAAGACTCGCGAGATGGAATCTAAGGCTTATGGAGTATGATTATAAAATCATACACCGGAAAGGTGCGTTACATCACGTACCAGATGCCTTATCACGTGCCCCCGAGGCCGTGGCAGAGTTACTCACAGCCGCACTAGAAACCCATGATAAATGGTACCTGCGTCGCTGTCGAGATGTAGAAAGAGTTCCAGAGAAATACCAAAGTTGGAAAATGTCTGAAGGAATTTTATACCACCGAAAACCGAGCGTAATAGCGTCAGTGGATAATAACGATTTGAACGAGTGGAAGTTAGTCCTCCCTCGAGAATTGCGTCGTGGAGCTATCCGTGAATGTCACAATAAACCACACGCCGGACACCAAGGTGCCGATAAGACATGCCATTGCCTAGCCACCCAATATTATTGGCCAGCGATGTTTGAGGACGTGATGACGTACATCAGTCGTGCCACGATTGTCAGCGCTGCAAAGTGCAACAGAAGACACCGATAGGACTAATGGGACCTCGAGCAATCGAGCAGCCATGGTCACGTATATCTGCAGATATAATGGGCCCGTTTACACGCAGTAAAGCGGGAAATCAATATATACTAGTTATCCAAGGCTTCTTCACGAAGTGGATAGAAGTTCGGCCGTTACGAAAAGCAACGGGCGCAACAATCCGGAAAGCATTAGAGGAGACGATCATCTATCGATGGGGAGCTCCTCGGGAATCGCTGACCGATAATGGTACCGAGTTCGTAAACAAGGACTTGAAAGAGCTCGCAGCTTCGACCAACATGAAGCATCGAACAACTCCACCGTATCATCCGCAAGCGAACCCCACCGAGAGAGTGAACCGTTCGTTAAAAGCGATGATACAAGCTTACGTGGAGACAGATCACCGAGAATGGGATTGTCACTTGGACGCATTTAGATTTGCGTACAATACAGCCCAACATAGCTCGCTGAAAGCCACACCGGCCTTCGTCAACTTTGGACGAGAGCCGGAACCAGCCAACTCATTACGAACAAAGCTGGAAGGAGAAGTGGAGGTTGAAGAGACCCCTACAGAAGCATGGGTAGAGCGTATGAAACGACACGATACCCTCCGATTGGCTTTTAGGCACGCCCTAACAGAAGCCAACGACCGACAGGCACAAGCATATAACTTGCGCCGGAGAAAAGGAGAGTTCGAGGTTGGAGAACTAGTTCTAGTTCGAAACCACGAGTTGTCAAATGCTGCCAAGCACCGCTCAGCCTCTTTGAATAAACCATTCAATGGGCCCATAGTGGTGACGAAAAAGCATTCCAGAAACTTCTACGAAGTCTCTGATTTAGCTGGACGGAATCCTAAAGGCGCCTCAATAGTGGACATAAAACCCTATAAGGAAGCCTTGGAAGATCCCCCACCGAAGAGAATGGTGACGAAATTCTCCAGGAGTGAGCGATCTGAACCAACAAGTTTCGGGTCGAAACCTCTCCTAGGGAGAGGGGTGTGTAACGAGATTTTCTCGTTACTAGGGAATATCACAAGCAAAATAACTCGGTGAAATGAACGACATCTAACGCCGGCTGAAATAGCCGAGCGAAAGATGAATAGACCATCGGACGATGGCCAATCAGGCCGCTCCGAAGGTAAATTAGACCAATCACACAGTAGGAAGAAACGTGGTAGGGTGAGACCATGTTTCGGAACACTCTGATGGCGCTGACGATAGCGGCTTCCCAATTCGGAAATCCACCCAGCTCTCTCATAGTCCGAGGCTACAGAGATCCATCTCTAGGGCGAAATCCATGGTGTTTGAGTGGACTAAGGGCTAGGATTCAAGGCGTTTTCCGTCGGTCCGGTCACACGCGCCTCCATGGGAAGTAACTCTAGTTTTGACTCGCGATGAGATTGCTAGTACCGAGCTCTCGAGTTGGGGTGGACGTTAGGTGGGTGAGAAAGGTCTCCGGATACCTACGTCGCATGTGCCTCGAGCAGTTCGGCGCCCTGCGGGGTGAGAAGGATTCGCCGGTAATCTGTGTCTTGTCTGGGGTTGAGCCACCCCAGAGGAGAGAGTACCACGTGAGAGGGATGGTCATATCCCTCCACGAGAGTCTGAGGGATACGTTCCCCGAAAGATATCGTTGACGATGCCGTAAGCACGGCAGAAGTTAGTGATTGAAGTTACTCGTACGTTGGTGAACCTCGCCCACTCTACCGTGTCATGCTGATGCTGGCTCGGCATTGTGAGACCCGCCACCGAAAATCCGCGGAGTTGACGAAATTCCTTCGCGGCTGGTTTTCCGTCAGGTTTTCCAGAAAAACCTGGCTGGCGCCCAATCGTGAACGATAGAGGCGGCAGCCAGAATAGTTTGAGGATTATCCCGGGGTGTTGACCTGGGAAAAATACTCTTACAACGCTTATATGAATAATGGAGTACTATAGGACCTAGACGTGCCTATAGAGATCGCGCTTGGATAAATGAAAATCGAGGTGCCACGTTTTCAATTTTTCCATTAGGAAATATATGCAGAATTACGAAATGTAATAAATTTGGAGGGTGACACTTTTGCCTCCACCAGTCCTACAAAATGTTTTCATCGACAGAGTTGGTCCCGTCTCATGATTATATTCCCAGCCTTCTGAAAATGCTCAAGTATATTTCCTCTAAACAGATTCCGATTTTTTAGTAAGTAGATTGTCAAATTTTATGACCCCGAAGTGAGCATTAAATCGAATAAAAAATCACTTAAAAGTTCTAGAAAGTTAAAAATAAATCGATTCAATTGTGCTTTGATTCGATATGTTTTTCAGTTTTGTGTTTTCCCATTTTTTCAGTTTTTACAACGGAAAAGTAAAAAAATATAGATGATAGTCCGTGGTAGTACGATTAATCCAATAATTATTTTATTAAATAATTAAGAAGTTTATTAAAAACACATTGAAGTTTCCTAAAAAAAACATACCCCTCCTTTAGAGTATGATTTGGAGAATGAAATGATTGATCATTGATAATATTCGAATGCTTCAGTCGAAGAGTACAGATCGGTAGAATTTTTTCCTTATTTCGGAAACTACGACCATTGAAATCACAATTTTGAGATAACCCATAACTCCCACTTAGAACGTTTCTAGAAAGGTAGAAAAAATTTCATTCATTCGCCCGCTATTCATTGGTAAAGTACTCGAAAAATATATTTTAGCCTTTGACGAATAGTATTTTGAATGTTCCTCAAAACGAAGAACCTGCGATTGTAGAGGATATCACGGCCACCCCAATAAATCAAAGCATAACTGAATCGATCTATTTTTCGTGAAGTTATATCACTTTTAAGTGATTTGTCATTCGTTTTAAATTTAAATTCCAGGTCATTATTTTCATTTTTCTTTAAATATAATTTTGTTCTGGGGGGCTCGCTCGGTATACTGAAGTCAACATAAGTTTTGCCTCGAGCACCTATCCCCACCATGTAATTTTTATACATAAACGCGTGTTCTCCAGTCTTTCTCAAGAAACAAACCTATGTTGGCGCCCGTATAACTGAAACAAATTCTGATGGCCTGCCCTCCTGTCCGCTAATTTGACCAAGTTTTTTGAGGACATTTGAGTGCAACTACGAGAAAAAAATATTCAATACCCATGGAGTGGAATATACTCACGCTGGAAACGTTATCTTGGCACTGGGTAACATACGACGAAGAAACGGGCATAAATTCGGGGCGCGCAGGGAGTGAGATTAGACCGTCAAGGTTGCCCAATTTAAATGTCGGGTTTAACATGTACCTCACCAACATATATCTCTCCACGGCTCAATGCAGAGACCATCTGAAATCGACTGGTAGGGGCGGAAAATTGAAAATGTTGCCAGTGGTCCTGTGGGAATAGACTAGATAGACATAGGTGACTTAATTGAAATTTGGAAGTGCTCGTAAGCTTCTGGGACTAAGATACGAAGACGAAGATAAGAAGGCGAAAAGTTAGAAGTGCTGCCGATAGTCCTGTGGAAATGGACTAAGTAGATATAAGTGGAACTTGGATGTGCTGAATCTGAGAAGAGCAGACGAGATGCTGTGGCAACAGAGCCAGGGCAGGGATGGGCAGGAGGCTCAAGCCCTGAGGAACAAAGAGGGGACAGATGAAGATACGAGAGTGGTCGGAACAAAGACTAAACGGAAAATCTAAATTTTTCGGATAAAGAATTCCGATTAAAAAAGTCACATGGAACTCAATTTAATAGTTACTAGATATTAGGTATTAAGAGAGACAATACGCACTTGGATGACCTAAAATTCGGCTTCACAGAGAGATCATATATATTCTCGCACAACGTGTACAAATTAGAGAGACTGTTGGCGATTGTAAAAAGTGTCAAATTATACCACAATGGAAATGCAATGAATTATTATTCTGCGCTCTTTGAGATTGATGGCTTCCAGTTGCTCTTCTCACCACCGACGATTTCTTTGGGACGTCTTCTGTATAGTCGTTTCCGTTTAACTATGCAAAAAAAAGGAAGATGCTTGTAAAGCGGAAGGAGAAATTATACGCAATGTTAGAGAACGACCAGTTGAAAAAATTTTACCTCCATATTCTTCGTCATTATGAGACGAGGATATGATCATACTCTGCCTCTTCTTTATGAATGTTGTTCCTATGAAAAAAAAATATTATTATCATTTCTTTCTCTGAAAAAATAATATGTAAACTTACGTGTAATATTCCCTGTGGATATTTTCAACCTTTCATCGTCGATTTCTTTCGATAATTTTTCAGGTAAATGATCTTTCATAAATTGATAAATAGTTTCTTTGGTAATTCTACAAAAAAATAATAGTCCGTCCTATTATATTCTCTCGCGGTGAATACAATTGCTGCAAGTAGCATCATTACCTGTTCAGTAACAGTTCCTCATGTGCCGTCTGAATTCCCATATCTTTTTTGAAAATTCGGTCCATCCTCTTGGTTTTTACCATCGGTATGTTGGCGTTTGACCGTTTGACGTTGGTCACTTCATTTTCAATAATGTCTTGCAAATTTCCTGAAATTTTAAGATGTTTTACATAATTAAAATATGGCTTTTTATAAATATACATATATGGTAATGTATGCGTGTCGATATATATATAATACATTATAATAAATATGAAATATGATAATATACATATAATATACATATTTTCAACAATCAGGCAATTAAATACATACGAATAAATTGAAAAACTCGAGGTTGGCGACCACCCGCTCGAAAAGTGAAGTGGCGATTAAACGCTTCCGAATCATTATTAGTTCTGATGCAGGAACCAGCTACTGACAGTATCTCAGGCTTATTACCCCATTCATTCTGAACATATTCAGACCAGTTGTTGAGCTGTGGAAATATGGCCGTATATTAAGAAGATACATCTTTTATTACTTCCACGCCCAACTGTACGAGATTTGGTGGTAATAAGGCCAGCGAACGTGTGAGATGTTTCGGCTCGCATGGAGCATTTCGGAGACCTTTTTTCTTCCATTGCTCTGACATTGCCTGCAATAAGAAAAACACCTACAGTCAATTCTTGTTTATCATTGAAATCTTGTTAGAAAAAAAATCAAGTAATATGGCTTGCCTTGATAAAGTGGAACCAACAACTTTGCACCCTTGCTCTAGGGAAAACCAAAGCAAAAGCGTTCAGCGCGGCCTTTTCAAAATCAGAAACAATCGATTCAACGTTGCTCAGGCCCGGTGCCAGTTCCAGAAGCCACTTTAAAATTGCTTCATACAATACCGCTTTAGCACCTCGATAATAAACAAAATCGATTGCGAATGACTATAAAAATTGCAAAAATAAGTGAATTAAGTAAACGACACTATGAATCATGCAAATTTTGAAGGATTCAGCCGTGAATGAAATCATGATACCTTATTATTCTTTCAGACACTGATGATCCAAATTTGCGTTCCTTCTGGCGTCGTTGGAACTGCCTACAAGAAATTGAATTATCAAATACATGTACTAATCGAGTGGAAATATTGTTCAAGTTCTAGTCAAGACTGGATCAGGTCATACTTGATGATTGATCCGGAAGTGACACGGTAACTGGATCAAATTTTGATCAGACATGTAACGCAAATTTAAATCAAGACTTGATCACACTTTTCTGATCCGGTTTAACGGTTCCGGATTTGATCAAGTCAAATGTATCTAAATCGGTTGACTGGAATATCGAAAACAATAATAAATATTAACCATAACTCACTTAAAACAAAAGATAATTAATTTTTTTTTATTATATCTGACCGCTCTTAATGAAGCCCGATTGTAATTAGCGATGAAAAAACCCTATTATTTTTGACGATGCCGGGGATCGAACCGAAGACCTAACTGGGGACCTAACCACTGGACTACCGCACTATTGTTTTTGAGTAGATTCTTATTACCTACACAATCTGCAAAGGAGTATTTGATGACTTTGAAATTATTGCATGTACATTCTGAGCGAGAAAACATATTCGGTTCAAATTTTATTCATTATTAAAAGATAATTATAATAATCATAACACAATGAACAGATGCAAGTTTGATGATTTTTTTAGACTCAAGATAATGCGCTCTTATGTTTGATACTTCACTATATATATTTCCCTTGCTTCCTATACATTTGAATAAAGGTGTTTCATCAATAGATTAACAATTGCTAGAAAAAAGAGGATTCTCAGAAAAGGGTAGATCAAATGAATATCAGATGAATCGCATCTGAACTTTGTGATTCTTTTTTATCGAGCTATTCAATTGAAAATCAAGTGAATTGAATCGGAAGGAGAACAAATTGTGTTGAGGCAGCTTGATCTCAGAGTGAGATCATGTTTATCTGACTTGCTGGGTCAAAACTTGGTCAGGACTTCATCAAGTGTCATCTGATCAGGCATGTTTGACCAGAACTTGATGTAAAGCCATTTGTAGTTTATAGGGTCCAATATACTGGCTCAAAACTTGATCAAGTTTCCATCAGCTATCATCTGATTAGACCTGTCTGATCAGAACTTGATCTAAATTCGCTTGTAGTTTTTAGGATCCGAAATGTTGGATCAAACCTTGGTCAGGTTCTGATCAGATCTTACCTGATCAAGCGATCCGCACTGAAACTGAATCAAGTTCTGATCGGACTTCAAGTAGACCTGAACTAATTTCCACTCGGGTATGAAAATATTACATGGAGAAAAAAATTCCCAAAAAAATACGTGACAAATCTGTGCGCAGGACGAATAGTCCTTTCGTAACAAATGACTTGACTAACTTAAATTTTTTTTATAATGTAGTTTTAATTTGGCGTATTAAAGTGATGGCAGTAACGTAACAATCCGAGTTAGTTCCGTAATTTTTTACGAAACGGCACTGCGCCCTACGTTTACGAAAGTGACACATTATTTTCTTAAGGATTCTTTTCTCCCTATAAAAATCATTTGCATCAAGTTCTATTATATATTTGAACCTTATAGCTGAGTTTACTTCATGGGTTAATGATATGGAAATTTGGATAATTTTCAGTATTCAACCAGAAAAAAAATTGTTATTGATCTCGTGGTCTCTCCGAACCTTACATACAAATCATAGAACAAATGGGTAAAAAAATGAATTCTTAAGTTGCCATAAATTGTACTAAATTTAAGAGAAATACGGAAATACGGTCATATTTGCGAATATCCAGTTATGACCTTCATAGTTTCGTCGATTTCGATTATTTTCGCTGTATTGAATTCTTCCAGCATGTCATCATGTACAAACAGCAAGGCACAGCCTGCATTTTCACCCTCTGGATGCACAATTCCTCTATAATTGCTTTTTACTACGTCTTTCATTTCCTCATTGGTTTCCAGAGTGTTTGCTAGTTCTTCCAGTGTTGCCGGTTCCTTAGGTCGTCCTATTTCATCTCTTTTTCGTCTTATATAACTATTAGATGCAAGTATTGAAATACACCTCCTTGCGATAGGATGACTTGAAACATAATAAATTCCAAATAAAATCTTCTTATCTATAATGGTTCCAATCCCCATATCCCTTTAAGAGCATCGAAACGGGATTGAAATCAAGAATTAATATTTTAAATACATTTCAACAAAAAAAGGTTGGGGCTTGATAATTGATGAGCTTATCGCGAATCGTGAGTAATGCGACAAGTAAACGAATCGAAAGATTCTCCATATCGTAGTTGTCATCCTCTCTTCTTTGAAAAAATGAGTATTTTCGATTCCCGTGCGTCAAGCATATTTGATTTTGAGCTTTTTTTTTTATTTTTCATCAGCTGCAACACTTTGGTTATCATCTGGGAATACTGGATAAAGAATTCCGATTAGAAATGAAAAAACTCCATTTTGAGGGGATTCCATTTTACAAATGACCTTTCATCTCGAAAAATAGTAGATCCACCCCACTGCCTTTAATGTTCTCTGTTTTTCGGTTTGAATGCTCAAATATACTTTGGGACAATCAGTGATAACTAACGAATGCATCGATAGAAATATCTATGTTAGAAAGTACACAGAATGTATTGAAAATTGAAAATTTAGGAAGCTTCGCGGCATTTATGTATTCCCCCAAACTCACAATGGCTAAATTTCCACCCTGATTTTGTGTGATATACAGGATAGATCCAGCGGAAGAAAAAAATATAGGGGCAGGTGGAGTAATGTGAACACGTTTTTGACTTAACTTGAGTTGAGTATTTGTTTACACTATAATTATATTAAGGTTGTTGTCGCGCGACAGTCTCTGTAAAAAGTTTATCCGCTGTAAAACGGGCCAGTTTAGAACACAATTTTTTAGCGGTATATAGTCTCACTTGATTGATTGCATTATGCATGGATAGCTAAAGCATAACTATATATTTTCCATATTAACTATTTTCAATTATATAAATTTATGAATTTCCGATAATTATATTCCGTAAACCGAACGGTCAATCGATTTGATTTTTTTTTCTGTATCTCCTCCCACGATGTATATCCCACGTTTTTTTTTATTTCTGAAACTGTCGAGTCGTTGATTTTTAAAAAATTCTAATCGGCAAAACTCCATTTAAACATGTGTTAAATCACTCGAATTTCAAAAATTTATATCTCAAGTTCAAAACGGTCAATAGCAAACGGAAAAGGCTCATTTTGTTGCTAATTTTTCAAACTATTCACCATAAAATTTTTAACGAAAACTGTCAAAAAAAAATTCTACGCGACAACAACCTTAAGTAGGGCATGATCTTTTGGTCCAGATTTTTTATAGTTAAACAAGATGTAGTGAACACTTACCAAGGAGCACACACGAATTTCGACTTCGGATTGGACTTGACCAATAGGGAATCAGCCTCACGAGTTTCGCCTCAGGCGAACTTCATTTACGTATCACTGCTTTCATGAAAAGAATTTTCGCTCTACATGCCAATATTTTTGTCTTTGCAATGAGATGAGCTCGTTTGCGGCAGTTGACCTTCTTGGCTTACAGGCCTGGAAAATGGCTATTTGTCGAATATGAACCGTATATACGTGTGAATTCCTAATTCCAAATTCCTATAAATGTCGTTGCTGAACAGGAATCATAATACCATTATAATTTTTTTCCGCTGAAGGAAGCATCGAAATTAATTATATATGTGTGAAAATTTTAACGTCCCTAATATTGAATTTATGGAATATCAGTATAAAATTTAATAAGTCACAATGTGCTACAATTTTTGCAAATAATATACAATTATGATCAGTATCTATAAAATTAGAGAAATGAATAGGCTCAATTTTTATAGCACACGTCCCTCAAAATTACATTCTTTCTTTGAATGAGAATGAGTTAGTAACGGTGGTAGTCAAAATCTACGCCACGGTCATACAAATTCATAGAAGTGTACACTAAAAAATCTACCTTAATTTTCAAGTACGGAGATGTGAAAAAAACTTCCTGCACATGGACCATACAATATCAGGAGAATTTTGTACAGTGATATATTCATTCTTGCTTTTTCATCTATTTTAACGCATAAATGTTCTTATGTCAATGAAAGTTGCAAAATTTCGATGACGTGCATTATTTTTTGAAATAGTACAGACACAATTCCTTGACTGCGAAGTGAATTCAAAAAATGTTTATTTTCATAAATGCTTGAAATTACAGCAATGGCGCTCATTTTCCATCTTAGAGGATATAATTCTTAACATTGCGGTTCTAGATTTTACAGCAGCTAGGGAACTCTAATTATATTCAAGCGCTGTTGGTAATAATATACCACGCGGATCAAAAATTATTGTACTGCAATGCACTATTGATTAGTAAATGTCGCTCTGAAAGAACATTGTATATCTCACAAATTAAACATTTGTAAGAAAAAACTCGAAATGTCACCAGAAGCTTATGAAAATCTGTAAATGTGACTTTTTTTATTTTTAAAATCGAGCTACTCAAACGTAATTTAAACCTTGACAAACATTTATCCTTTGACAGTGGATTAAACTTCGGGAATTAGAATGGGGAAAAAAATAAAAAATATCATGAACTTATAGTTAGCTGCACTTTTCATATACCAGCCTTCAGCAGAGAATATCTCTGTGAAAAGTGAGGATATAAAAAAAAAAAATCTGTGTATTCAGGAAACCTTTCCCCAGGTGGGAATTGCCTCACTTTTTTTCAATAAGTGTTTTTTCTTTTTTTACAACACTAAAAGGAATTACAGAAATGTTCAGCATAGAATATCTCCGACGCCACCCATCACAATATCATGTAACCAAATTCCCTGACTTCGGTTTTCAAAAATCTAAATGGGAATTCCTTTTTTTTTTATTTCCCCCCTTCGTAATTCGGAACTAAAAAAAAAATCAGAAAAACTGCAACACTCCATATCTCACGTATGGAGCAACCCCCAGAGTTGAGACAAACACTAAAATTTTTATTTTGCATTGGCCTAAAAGTGAATTGTTTTTTTTTCAAATTTTTGAACGAAATTTCTTGAAATTATTTTTATTAGATGTATAAAACTTTATAATCTCATAAGAATTCGGCAAAATTCGGCAAAACAAAAAGTTGATTTATTTCATTTTTTTTTAGACCAATTCCCATTTAAGCCAATGAAAAATAAAAATTTTGGTGATTGACTCAACTCTAAGGGTTCTTCCATACGTGAGATATGGAGTGTTGAAGTTTTTTTGTTTTTTTTTTTAATTCCGAATTACGAAGAGGAGAAATAAAAAAAAGGTATTCCCATTTAGATTTTTGAAAACCGAAGTCAGAGAATTTGGTTACATGATATTGTGATGGGCGGCGTCGGAGATATTCCATGCTGAACATTTCTTTAATTCGATTTATTGTTATAAAAAAAGAAAAATTATTTATTGAAATAAAGTGAGGCAATTCCCACCTAGAGAAAGGCTTCCTGAATACACAGATTTTTTTTTTATATCTTCACTTTTCACAGAGATATTCTCTGCTAAAGGCTGGTATATGAAAAGTGCAGCTAACTTCAAGTTCATAAAATATCACCATTAGATTGGGGCAAATTCTAATGGTGACATTTTTTCTTTTTTTTTAAAATCACTTTCGAAGCTAGATATCCATTGTCAATTGCTCTCAAAAGTTAATATTTCATGAAATTTACCCTTGAAATAATATTTTTTTATAATTGACAACTATCACCACTAAATCTCTTCCTAAAACAAAAAAAAAATTTGATATTTTCAAATTCCTCGATTTTTCACTGAAATATCCGCTGATAAAGATCATTTTCAGCAAACTTCAGGGTCTTCCGCTTCTTCAATATTGAATGTTTAAGCAACAGTATGATTAATACATTCAGATTGTTCCGTGCTACTATAATACTCTATTGGTGGTCAACGGGCGGCTATGTTGAGACGCCTACGCCGTTAAAATTCGATTGGTTCTTCTTTCACGCGACCCCGCCTACTAGCATATACATCAACAAATCGTTGGCTTGACAGTATATACTCTTGCGACGACACACAGCTTTAGTCCAGGCAAATTAGGTCTAACATGTGTTTCATAAAGTTGTGATGAACCCCAAATTCATCACCCCTGTGAACAACCAGGGGAAATTTTCATGTAAATAATTAAGGGAAGGAGAAATGTGAATAATTGTAACGGCCGGCGGGAAGGTAAGGAATGAATGAGAGTGTGAATGAGAGAGGGTAAGAAAATAGAAACGGGGAATAACGGCGGAAAATATCCAGCAAAAAGTGCAATAGTTAGCAATAGAACAGGCATGGGCAAAGTCGGATCCTCGGGAGCCGGGGCCATAAAACCCTATTAGACCCATTATTAGAAATACGATGCCCCAATTGCGTGGAGCGCAGGGTACTCATGGTGGGAGTAGCAGCATGTACGAAGTGGGGCGCAGTTAGACAGAGAGAGCACCGCGCGCTTTCCTTTCAAATTTAA